GGGGAGGGGGGCGGCGGCGAACAATGAGACCCCCGGGATCGGGACCCCCGCGGATGGGGAGGGGAGGGGGAAGCACCACCCAAAACACCCCCCAAAAACACCCCCAGGAGCCTCCAAAACACACCCAAAACACCCCTAAAAATATCCCCAAAAACACCCCCAAAAATCCCCAAAAACACCCAAAAAATATCCCCAAAAACACCCAAAAAATATCCCCAAAAACACCCCCAAAAATATCCCCAAAAACACCCCCAAAATATCCCCAAAAACACCCAAAAAATATCCCCAAAAACATCCCCAAAAACACCCCCAGGAGCCTCCAAAACATCCCCAAAAACACCCCAAAAACATCCCCAAAAACACCCCAAAAACATCCCCAAAAACACCCCAAAAATATCCCCAAAAACACCCCAAAAATCCCCAAAAACACCCCAAAAATATCCCCAAAAACACCCCCAAAAATATCCCCAAAAACAACCCCAAAAATATCCCCAAAAACACCTCCAGGGACCCCCCAGGGATGCCCCCGCCCCCCAAATGTGGGACCCCTCCCGTAAAACTCACCCGGGGACCCCCAAAACCAACCCTGGGACCCCCAAATCGGGTGAGGGGCCCCCAGATCGGGTAAAAGATCCCCCCAAACCGACCCTGGAGAACCCCGGAATCCACCTGGGGACCCCCAGACCCAACTCTGGGACCCCCAAACCCAACCCTGGGACCCCCAAATGGGGATCAGACACCCCCAAACCAACCCTGGAGAACCCCGGAACCCACCTGGGGGCCCCCAAATTGCCTCAAGGACCCCCAAATCGGGACCAGAGCCCTCAAACCCAACCCTGGAACCCTCAAATGGGGATCAGGGACCCCCAAACCCAACCCTGGGACCCCCAAACGGGATCAGGGACCCCCAAACCCAACCCTGGGACCCCCAAACCCAACTCGAGGACCCCCAAACCGACCCTGGGACCCCCAAATGGGGATCAAAGACCCTCCAAACCCAACCCTGGGACCCCCAAACGGGATCAGGGACCCCCAAACCCAACTCTGGGACCCCCAAATGGGGATCGAAGACCCTCCAAACCCAACCCTGGGACCCCCAAACCACCTCCCCCCACCCCAAAAATCCATTCCCT